GATTGATCCGGAAAGGAGATCCGATCTGTCCGCCTGTGCCGGATGAATTACTTCTCGTGCTCCTTCTCAGGCTCCAGAGAAAGCTCCGTGTGAGGGGCGCGAGTTGGGAGCTTCTTACGAACTGGTGAAGCTGCTGCGGCGCCCAAACCTCTGGGTTCCCCAGCACAACCTGCTGTGGCCGGGCCGGGTTACCTGCGGGCAGGGTTACCTGCGCGGTGGGCAGGGTTACCTGCGGGCAGGGTTACCTGCGCGGTGGGCAGGGGTCAGCGAGCCGCTGGGCTCGGGGCTGGCGGGCAAGGTCTCGTCCTCGCACGACAAGCAGATGAAAAACTTCGGTGTGATCGATGTCACACTTCAAAGGAGTAAAACAGTAAGTGAAGTTTTCTGTGAACTTAGTTTCAAGAAGACAGAGGGTGGGAGGAAGAGAAAATGCTACGTTTTCTGAAACCTTTTCAGACTAGATTGGGACCTGTTGATGAAGGGGGCTCCCAGATGGACTGAAAAGCAAACCTGGTTTACAGGAAGCTGCAACTGGGGTGCTGGGCTGTGGTGTAACAAAGGTGTAGCATAGTTGGTTAGTGGCTGACTGGGGACGTGAAGGAGGCTAAAAGCATCAGTAGGTAGTAAAGAAATTAATACAAGATTCTTTGTGTAGAGAACAGCAAAAAAACCTTGGAATGACATAGTACACAGTAAGTACAGAAATGTAATCTGTTTCTAGTAAACTGTTTCCTATTTGATTATGGTAAGTTATTAAAACAAAAGTTACTTGTTTATTTGTAGGTAAAAAAGCTGTTAAATAGCAGCTGGGTGGGACAATTGCTTCAAGGTCAGTGTGGCCACAACTTTTACTTGGGTTTGAAAAAACGGGCTGGAGTTCTCTGGCATTCATTAAAAAATATTAATACTTGAGTAGCAGGAAATCGTAAGTAAAGGACCAGGGAGGAAGTACACTTCCCTGTGGGAAAGGAGGATAGCATGGTTAGGTGTGGGTCAGTTAGCCTAGAATTAATTCCAAAGCAAAGGAGACTTGCTCGATAATAAATTAAGGGGCTGGAATATGAGTAATTGAAGTTTTAATGTAGAGCAGATCTCATTTGACCAAATCACAGGCTTGATTGCTAGCAGTGCAACTTGTCACTCAGTTTTTAGAAAGTTTCACTTTGTAGTTGACATACAGAGCTAACAAGACAGAGCACGCAACAGCAGGGTGATTTCTCTGAGCTACCCACTTCTCAGCAGGTTGACAGGGATCATAAATGGAGACTTGCCATGCGGAGTCCTGTAGGAGCTCGTATTCAGTCTTGTGCAGCTGAAAAAGCAAAGCCTCCTGTTGACTGCCTGCAAGTAAATGTATAAAAGCACAGATCATGGTTTTAATCTTTGCATCACAAATTGTGAGGCAGCTGAACTGTGGCCATCAGGATTGTTTGGTAGGACTGAATGAACAGCTGCTGTTTGAAAGCAACCAGATACAACCAGGAGCAGAGACTACAGGGCATGTGAGAATCTAGGTTGGTTCTGCGAAGCAGGGCTGGATTTTCCCACAGTTCTCAAAACTCATTTCAGTTTTCAGGTCCCTCATTGCTGAAAGTCCCTCGTGTGATAGTGGGGCAGAGTTAGCAGTGGACAGAGGGTTTTCCTTATGTTTATAAACTGTTCTCAAAGGTGTTTTGATTTTTCTGGTGGGCTGTGGGTTTTTTGTTTGGTTGGTTTTTTTGTTGTTGTTGGTTGTTGGTTTTTTTTTCCCTCCTGGTGAAAAATAGAGCCTGTGCAGCCCCCTGAGTGAGTGCTGTGTCCAGGGCAGGTGGTGGAAGGGTTGACCTCCTGGCCTGTGGTGGGACTGCCTGGGTGTCCCCTGAGAGCAGCCCCTTCTCAGGGTGTGCAGGGCTGCCCCTGGTTTCCTTCACGGAAGTGTCACCTCAGGGTCTGTGGTGGAATGAAGGAAAGATGGGCTGTATTCTAGGCGGAGATGTGGTGGGAGTCCTTTACCGGATTTGTTGTCTAAGTTATTCTGGTGGCAGCAAGAATTGGATGAGGGGTGTTGAGAGGAACCAGAACTGTGGTAGTTCCCAGGTGACAGTCTCTGGGCAATCCTGGACTCAGTGGGCTGATTCTGAGTCTCCTGAGCTGGGACAGGTTGTCTCTATCTGGTCAGGGTAAGTCTGCCTCAGTGGTGTGGGACAGACAAGCTGTATGTGATGCTCCTAGAGAGCAGGAGGCAGGAGAGCTGGGGCTGAGGTTATCACCTGGGATCCCAGTGCTGCTGCTGCCGTGTGGGGTGGCTGGGGAGGAGAGAGGTGCTGGTGCTCCGTGTCTTTCGGACCGCAGGAGAGCGTTGAGCAGCGCCCTTCTCTTCTCGGGGCCCCGCCTGGAGCGGGATCTGAGCGCAGCGCCCCGGCGGGGCTGTGCCCGGGCTGCCGTTCGCACCGAGCAGGTGAGCACCCCCTCTCCTTGCCGCCGGTTCTGCTGGTCCCTGGGCCGCCGGGTCTGCTCCCGCTGCCCAGCGCGCTCCCATCCACCCAGCCCCCGGATGCGCGGTCGCGCTCTCCGGGAGGGAGTGCTCGGCAATACCCGGGAATACCCTGGAACTGCAGTTCTGCTGCTGCCCTGGGGGTGGTTCTCTCTGACTGCCTGATGTCAAACGCCTTCCTGCAGCAGGACCCGGCGCTGCCCGCTCCCAGCAGCTGCCCGGGAACGCGCAGCCTCCCCGGGAGCCCTGGCTGCCTGTGCGGGTCGGGGGCTGCTCTGGGGGGCGATCAGCGGCCGCTGCCTCCTGGCATGGTCTGCTAGAGCATCTAGCACTGGGTGGGCCCAAGAGCAGTGAGCCTTGGCGTTGTATGTGCTTGATTCTCCGATAATTTGTGTGTCCTGCTTCATGCCTTTTCCCCCCACAAGGGCTGGGAGGATGGGGTTGGTGATTGGCCTCCCTCTTACTTCATGTCTGTATTTCCTCACAGATGGGGAAGGGCAGCCTGGAGTGCAGATGGACCAAGTCTGAGAGGAAAAAGGATCTTGGAATGGTGAGTTCCTGCCCAGACTGTGTGGGTTTTTTGTTTGGGGTGGTTTTGCATTTTGCATGTGGGCATGGGTCCTTTTTATCCTGTGCAGGAGCTGTGCTGCTAGTTTCCCCACACTACATCCCCATGGAGCTGCCCTGATATACCTGCACAGTTTTCCTTTCCCAGTGGTTCAGTCTGCATGCTTAGTGTAGATTAGCTTTTGAGAAAGCTGCTCCACAGCTCAGCTTCTTCCAGACTGGACTTATGGCTCCATGTCTGAATTGTGCTGTGATGCTCTGGTGGGTCAGGTGAGATCTGAAGTTCCTTTTGGAGGAGGCTGCAGACTGTGCCAGCCAGCAGGGTTTCCTAAGACATCGGTCACTGCAAGAATGACCCAGAAGCACTTGGGTTACAGTAAAAAGCAAACCTTAGTTCAGAGCCTATGCAGGCACTCTTCTGAAGTGCATTGGGACTGCCTTGGTCCAAGTGAGTCTGTCCTTCTCCAGGCCTGCTTGTGTCCTTGGAAATTTCCTAGTGAGTTCTCAGTGCTGCAGCACTGTCCTGTTGCATGTCCCTGGCCCTGTGTCCATCTGATATGTTATACATGCCCATGGGTAGAAGCAACCTTTTTTTTTTTTTTTTAGCTCTTCAAACTCCTTCACACTCCAGTGTGACAAACTTAATCAAAGTGTTCATAAAAATATCAGTAAGGCCAATGTTCTGTTGTCCTTTTTGTGAGAGAACAGTTGCTTAGGAGTATGTGTTCTTGTCTCTTGGTGGGTGGGGACCATGAGGCAGAGCATCTCTGGTCTGTAGTGGGTGGTGCAGGCCTGAGGGCAGGGAGCTCTTTGGAAGATGGAGACTGGCACCAGTGTGCAGACCTGTGTGTATTTCTCTTCCCATGTTGTTGTGTCCCTTGGCAGCAGTGCTGCCAGGTGGCTGCTCTGGTGCATCATTAGACACTGTTCCAAATAGCCCAGGCAGGAATGGTTCAGCACTTGGAGGAAAATGAGCTGGTGATGGATAGCTCTGGTGATGCCAAAGCTGTTAAAGTATGAACCTCTGAAGTGCAGCCAGGACTCCAGCAAGGGATGGATGTTCCTCTCTGCTCAGCTGCTGGAGTGTGGGGACAGTGCTGGTCCATGGCCCTTCCTTCTTCTGGTTGGTCTGAGATAGGCCTTTGTCTCTGGGTGGTGTTAACTGACTCCATAACTCAGTGGCCTGGGATCCCTTCCTGGAGCATGGGAGAGGAGTGGTGACCAGTGGCCAGACAGACACTCCTGCAGGAGCACCCACATTGCTGCTTGGGGCTCTGTTATCCCTGATGCTGTTGCACTGTGGTGGGACTGAGGGTCTGTGCTGTCTTTGGAGCAGTTCTCCATCTATGTTCTCCCTAGCAAGGACCACTGCAAATAGTTTGTTTCCTTTTTTGTTCTTCCTCTGCATGCTCTGTTCACTCTGGAGTCCTGGATGTAGCCAACAATAATGCTGCTTCCTTCACCTCCCCCTGCTCAGGACTGTGCAGTGGTGGTGGGGAGGTATTCACAAGTCAATTATGTGAAAAAGTAAGTCTCATTTATTCTGTCCTGGACCCTATAACATTAGGGCTCAGAAGGCCTCCTTGTTCTTATGTCCCCCCCCTTGTGTATCTCTGTATTGTCTGCTGCCGAACATGGGGAGAGACTGAAAGCCCTGCTGTCTGGTAAGGTGCTTCCTGGTGCCTGTGCATGGAGCTGCAGGCAGAGACTGCTGGAGCCCCAGTGCCTGATTTGTGTGCCCCTAGTGCTGGGAAGCTTGGGACAGGACAGGTAGCTGCTCTGGGGTCTGAGGACAGAGGTGAGATGGGGACAAAAAGCATGTTGTTGCATAAGCTGTGTGTGTTGGGCTGGGCTTGGGACAGTTGGCTAGTGGTGCCCTACATGGTCTCCAGGTGGAGGAGGAGGAGGAGGAGGATGCTGCCGTGTGGTCCCAAGCAAGTTGTGGGGCTGGAGAAGAGGATGACATGGGCAGAGTGGTCCCATGAGGAATGGCTGCTGCAGGCCACACGCCGTTTTCCCATTAGCGAGTGTTTAGTTCAGCGTTTTAAATAATTGTGTCCTCGGAATGATATTTAAAATCCATTTGGGAGGCAATGAGGCGGGAAAGTGCCTGTGCCATTGTGATGACGCTGCGCGGCCGCGCCGCACACGCATATTACAAACTCGTTACAGGCTCGTTTACACGCACTGCTCACTCCCCACACAACCTCTTTCTGATGCTCCTAATGTTTCTCCCCACCATGGCTGCTGCTTCTTGGCACTAGGGAGAAACCTCCTTGACAGGCAGGCCTGGTGTCACCTGCAGCCAGAGGAGTGGGGTCATGGCCACAGCCACTGGGTGCTGGCCTTTGGCAGGGGGTGTGGGGCACAAATGAGGTGAGACTGTCTCGGGTGTCCTGTGCTCCATGCTCAGTGCAGAGCTGTGCTGGCTTTCTGACCAGCTGGCGTTGCTGCAGGCTCCTGACCCTGCAGCCCCAAGACTTTCAGCTGCTGTGCTCTGGGCACTGCTGGGAGAGGCACCTTGGCCCACTGGGTGTGAAGCTGAGCACCAGCATGTGCCCTGGAATGTTCCCAGGAAGCTGTGTGAGCTGGAGGGACCAGGTATGAGGGAGCAGCAGCTTCAGCAGCAGTTCCCTGAGTGCTGGTTAGTTGCTGAATGGGAGGTTGTCCTTGCTGCTGTCCGTCTGTCCCCATTGCTCTGGCTGCTGTGTGGGCACCCTCCACTGTCCTCCCAACCTCTGCACAACAGAAATCCTGTGGTGTAGTACAAGGCTCTTGTGCTCCCTCATCCTTGTCCTTGCATTGGTGGCATTAAATAGTATTCAGTCTTCTCTCCTTCCTGATTGTGTTCAGACCCTTCAAGCCAGGGTCCCAGCTGTGGTTTTGCTTGGTTGTTCCCACCCTCTGCCTGTGATTGGGTAGTAAGAATCCAGCTGAAACCTCAACCTTGCTTTCAGAGAACAGGATTGCCTATGGTGGTTTATTCTTCAGGATACCACATTTCACCTTCTGTGCACAGGGCTTTGGATATCTGCTCTCCACTTGCCACTTCTTGTGGTTGTTGTGGTGAAAGAAGAGTGAGCCCATCCTGGGTTTCCAGTTGCTTATTGGCACATCTGGGTGTGGATGTGGGCAGTGTCAGATGCAGGCATTTGGATTTGCAAGTGCTTGGGATGCTTGGCTTTCCTTGCTGAGACCCTGCGGGGGCAGAACCTGGCTGCTCTGTCTGCCAAGCTTTACTTCTGTGTGCAGTGGTTCAGTTCATTCAAGCCCAGCTGTGCTGTGTGTCCAGGACCCTCTGTGCTGCTGCCCCCAGGGGGGTGGTCAAGGTGCTGTAGGGAGCAGGGTGGGCTTCAGTGTGGGAAGGCAGCAGGTCTTCCCTGATGGGGGCTGAAACACAAGCAGGGAGGGTGTGACATGACAATGAATGAGGAGATGAAAAATGCAAAGAGATGTTCTCCTGACAGATGGGGAGATAGGGAGGCCTAAGGCAAGAGCCCCACTGCCTTTGGGATGTAGTGCAAAATATGGAGCTGGAAGAGTGAGTCTGAAGTTCAGCTGCCCCATCTTTGCAGACCAAGTTCAGCACTATGACCTGAAGCTGATGAGAGGAGCGAGGTGGAAAAAGATACTTGGTTGCAGGTGAGAAGGGAGGACCTCATCGGCTTGAATGTGTCCTGTGGACCTTGCATGTGGCAACTGTGGATGTTTTGCTTGGAGATGCAGAGGGAAATAGAAAGGCTTTTGTGATTTATGGAATCCAAGAGCAGAGAAGGTGTCAATGGCTGGTTGTTTGTTTGTTTTTTTTCTGGGAGGAAGCTCATTTTACCACTGGTCTGTGCAACTTGTGTCTATGGGTAGGAGGTAGTTGGACTGGGAATGGCCAGTGCCCTGTGGCCTCTAAAGACAGTGCTTCTGGATAGAGTTGAGGAACAGTGGGTGTTAGAGGTGAACCAGGTGTCTGCCAGGTGCTGCGTTGAGGTCTTTCCTTCAGGCTGATGATGATCAGTTGAGAGAGGAGACACAGATGCTGAATATGGCAGTGGACCAAGGATATGAGCAGCCACACAAGCCAAAGAGGGCAGTAAGTTTGGGAAGAGTGTGTTTGGGGCACAACAGTAGGAATGCACAGCCAGGGCACTTATGTACACACCTCAGACAGACTTCCCCCTTGTCTCTTTACACCAACTTGGGCTGCTGCTGCACAGCTGAGTACCTTGGTTTTAACATCTTTCTCATGGGGAAATAGTTATCTGCTCAAGCTTGTCCTTAGGTTGTCCTTCATTATTGCTTCTTGTGGGCAAGGAGGTGTGATGTCTGGAGATGCACCAACACTGGTGGGTGGGATGGAGTGGCTGCTTGTGCACCTTATAAGGAAGTGCCTTCCCAAAGTCAGTTACTGTCAGCCACTGGAGCACTGGTTTAGAAGCAGACAGATGACTGAAAAAATGGCAGCACTTTTTTCTTTTTTTCAAGGATCTGCATCATCTTCCCCCTGGTCAACCTGTGTCATGGGATTGCAGGTGATCCCCTGCACTCTGACCTTTGAGGACCCTCTTCTTTCTCACAAACAGATGCAAAACATCTGAGGAAGGACTTGCTGAAGGCCATGAAGTCACTGGGAGCAGGGTACTGGGTGCTGCTGCTCTGTGCCCAGTAGCCCTGCTGTGAAGGTGTTATGAAACCAGTGAGAAGGAGCCTGCTTGTTTTTCTCCACCCAGACTGTGCAGCCTGCTCTGGAGTGTTCAGAGATTGGGCTCAGTAAACTGAAGGTAAAACCTTGTGCCAGTAGCTGGACAAGTCCTACCAGATGACAGTGCTGAGGGGACAGATGGTCCTGACTTCCCTCCTGTGACCTATCAGGCAGAGCAAGCAAAGGACATCGTTTGCTGTGGGGCCAGGGCAGATGCCAGAGCCCTGTCAAACCCAAAGGGAAGGCTCTGCTGGGAGGAGAGGAGGGGGAGTGTGGCTGCCTGTGTTTTGTGCATTGGGGGCTTTTTATTTTATTGCTGAGTTCATTTGGGTTTGGTGGGTTTTTTGTGTGTTGTGGGGTGTTTCTGGGTTTTTCATCATTAGCCCTGGGAGCAGGAGATCTCCAGGATAGCTGGTGCAAAGGCAGACATGCACACACCCTCTCAGCCCATGGTCTGTGAAATTGCCCGAGTAGGAGGCCCTGCCCTCTGCCAGCGTCCTGGTGCCACGGCTCAGCCCAGCCTCGGCGTGCTCCTCCTCCAGGCCATTCCTGGGTGGCTGTAGGGTGCAGGAAGTCACAGGATAGAACAAAGTTGACAGGGTAAAGACAAATGGGCTGAGATAAAAAAATACCCTCAACAAACAGCAACAAAAAAAATAAAAACAAACAAAAAACCCCACAGAGCAAGCAACCAACAAAACCCAAAACAAAATGCAAACAACTGACTCTAAACAAAACAAAAAACAAGCCAACAACCAAAACACCCCAACAACAACAACAATCCCCCCCAAGAAAACCAACCCAGCCCTACAATAAAAGCAAAAAAAAAGATCCAAAACTCAAAGACCTATTTAATATGAACAAGTGACACAACTTGCCTGTTTTGCAGGATAGATAGTACAGGCCAGGAGGTCAGTCTGGTTGGTTGACCAGTCTAGCAAAACCTTGATGCCCAGTGGGAGGGTTTTGTCCAGGAGTCCCAGGTGGGTGTGTGGTCTGGGTGCAGGGCCCCCCCAGCCCTTGCAGGTCTCTGCTAGGTTACCCCAGACAGGCTGGGCTGTAGGACTGGATAGGGAACAGTGGCTGAAATCCCCACACCAGCTGCTGAGTCCTGCTGCCATTGCTGGCACTTGCAGCCTGCCCAGCTGGAAGCTGCTTGAGTTGGCAGGGACACAGCAATTAACAGGTCAGTTACAGGACAGTAATTTGAGGGTAGACAAAGTTCAACAGGTCCCAAACCTGTGTGGAGCTTGCACACCATCCCAGCTCACAGGATCCCCTTTGGCAGAGCAGGGCACCTCAGCATCTTTCACCCCTCTAGATGTGACCCCCTGTGGCTGGAGGGGCAGATGGCAAAGCTGGGCATGCTCTCCTCAGAAGCCTGAAGACACTTGCCAACCTCTAGAGGTTTGCATGGGGACTGTCTTACTGCCAGGAAATGTGGTTCCTGCCATACCAGCTGCCTTTCCCAGGGTCTGCCTGCATGCCTCCCTTCCTCCTGCTCAGCAGTGTCTCAGCAGCTGGCCCCACTGCCCAAGTGATGGGTCCTGAGAGTCCTGGGTCCCGAGAGCTTGTCTGGGGCTTGTGAGGGGCTCTGGGACCCTGAGGAGCTGCCTGTGGGGAAAGCCTCTGTACTCAGTCCCCTACGACTTCTGAAACCAGTCCTGCTGCAGCTTCCCTGCTGGGATTGCTCCCACCTTGCTCTGCTTCTTTCCAAATGGGAGCACAGTTTGGAGCAGAGGCTTTGTAAAGCCAACTAGCAAGCACACAGTGTTTCCAGGCTGCTGCTGCCCCTCTGCTGTGCCTGATCTGTGCTGGTGGCTGCTGAAAATAGGCTCTTGGAAGAGGGGAGGTGGTGAGGGGCAGCTGCCAAGCAGGGCTATTTATACTGGGTGCGTCAGGCCTGTGCCTGAATCCAGCCAGACATTGGGAGCTGGGGCCGGGGAGCAGCCTGGGCAGGACATCGCCGTGGAGAGGCTCTTGCTGCAGCAGCGTCTTCACCGAGGCCCAGGCTTGTTGTTCACCGAGGCCCCGGCCTGTCCCTTCGTGCCATGGACTGTGCCCTTCCCCCCAGCCCGGCTGCGCGGCAGGTGCCGCTGCTGGGTGAGGAGCAGCAGAAGCACTCGAGGTGCTCAGGGCACCAGCACCATCCCCAGGAGCACAGCCCCAGCTCCCTGGGCCAGGGGCACCAGAGCAGCCGCTTGGAGCCCCTGGAATGCCGGGATCTGCTGGTCCAGAACGCGCTGTTTGTGGGGGACCTGGAGATGGTGCAGAAATACTTCACCAGGAGCGCAGCTGTCAACCTCATCATCGAGACCAGGGGTGAGGAGCTGCGCTGGACGAGCAGGAAGCGTGGTGGGTGTGCAGGGCTGGGAGATGGGAAGTGTCTGGGATGGGGACCAGAAAGGGAGCACAGACACCTGGGAAAAGGGTTGAGGGGAATGCCCAGTGGTGGAGAGGGACTTTGTGCAAATGTGCTGTTGGCTGCTGAAAATAGGCTCTTGGAAGAGGGGAGGTGGTGAGGGGCAGCTGCCAAGCAGGGCTATTTATACTGGGTGCGTCAGGCCTGTGCCTGAATCCAGCCAGACATTGGGAGCTGGGGCCAGGGAGCAGCCTGGGCAGGACATCGCCGTGGAGAGGCTCTTGCTGCAGCAGCGTCTTCACCGAGGCCCAGGCTTGTTGTTCACCGAGGCCCAGGCCTGTCCCTTCGTGCCATGGACTGTGCCCTTCCCCCCAGCCCGGCTGCGCGGCAGGTGCTGCTGCTGGGTGAGGAGCAGCAGAAGCACTCGAGGTGCTCAGGGCACCAGCACCATCCCCAGGAGCACAGCCCCAGCTCCCTGGGCCGGGGGCACCAGAGCAGCCGCTTGGAGCCCCTGGAATGCCGGGATCTGCTGGTCCAGAACGCGCTGTTTGTGGGGGACCTGGAGATGGTGCAGAAATACTTCACCAGGAGCGCAGCTGTCAACCTCATCATCGAGACCAGGGGTGAGGAGCTGCGCTGGACGAGCAGGAAGCGTGGTGGGTGTGCAGGGCTGGGAGATGGGAAGTGTCTGGGATGGGGACCAGAAAGGGAGCACAGACACCTGGGAAAAGGGTTGAGGGGAATGCCCAGTGGTGGAGAGGGACTTTGTGCAAAAGGCTTTTGGGTGAGGTGGGAGGATTCCAGGAGTGTAGAACAAGTGGAAGTTGGCTTGTTGAAAGTGGCCAGATGCAGATCTACTGGGAAATGGTGAGAAGAGGCCTGTTGAAAGGGCTGCTGGAAAGGAACAACATCAGGACTGTCCTGTTAGAGGTTGCTGGGGAGATCTGAAATGTGTGTGTTGGAGAGAGTGCTTGGGTGAGAAGGCATCAGGTGGCACAGGGATGCTTTTCTGCCCTAGGTCTTAAGTCAGGTCTGTTACCTCAGTTCACTAGAAACTGGAGGCTGTGCCATGACCTGGGAGCAGCAGAGGGGTCTTGGCAGTGACCCTCGGGCAGACCTTTGCCCATGTTCTGAGGCGGAGGCACGGCTGTGCTCGGCCTTGCAGGCAGCTGTGTGGGGACTGAGCCACAGTCACTCCCTGTCTCCCTGTTGCTGCTGCTGTAAAGTCCAGGGGTGAAACAGCCCCTGCAGTCCCTGCTCCACACCCTGGCTGGGGAAGCTGCAGGGGGTCGGTGTGGGAGGGCTAACAGTGGGGAGCTGGAGGGGGGCTTTGCTGCAGAACAAAAGCTTTTTGTGTTTTGCCAGATCTCACACGCAGGGTTTGCAACCTGTTCTGTGAGGTGGAGTGGGCGAGGGGAGCAGAAATCCAGTCTGCCAGGGGGAGTGAGCAAGGGAGGGATGTGCCCTGTGGCCTGGAAGGGCAGTGTCCTTGTGCTGTCTGAGCAGC